TGAGCTTCTACTTACAACACATAAATATTAAATTTTGAGGTACGAAGTACCCACTTTTCAAGCTGACCTCCATTCAGCCACTATTTACAAAACTATGTGCAAAATTCATAGAATTATTTGCCTTTAATATGGTACAATATCGGTTAGATGAATGGCGACAAATGTTATTTAAAAGCTTGTCTCCCTGTAGGTTTGATCGTCACTAGACGATGGTGTATAGACATCATCCTCGCCTTGACTGGTACTTTGCCGTCGTCGTTCCTGTTCCTCACGATATTCACCAGTTAGCCTTTTCCTAAAGGCATTTTTTACCAACCATCCATTCAGTTTATTGAAAATTATATTTGGCCACTCAAGCGAGGGGATGTCACTTAAAACGAATCACAAATGCATTTGATCAAATGAGAATGTTTCCTACAATTAGCTGATACTACATCGACTAACAGAAAAATAGCGTTAAAGTAAGAAATACAAGTAAAATGTTGGAATCATGATTGTAATATCATTGCAAATAGTTTCGTAGCTGCAAAAGTCGGTTTCTGTACGCTTGTTGACAATATTTTGTCACCAGGTGGTCTTCATAGTTTGAAGGAATCCGGTTACGAATACATTAATGCGCTGCTATAGACGATTGTTGATGAAGGGTGTAAAAACCTTCATTCAGAATTTACTGAATAGGTCAGAATATTGTAGCCAACACATGTGACATACCAGGCAGCTAGAGGAACCAGTTGCTATTTTTGTATCCCCTTGGTTCAACCTAGACGAGGTTGGACGACGACGTAGACTGTGAAGAAGGAAAGCGACGTGAAGACGGGTGTGGCGCATTAGGAACGAAATGGTCGCGTTGCGGTGAGAGGGGCGTCGCGCGCGAAGGAATGTAGCAGGATGCAGCAGTAGGTAAGAAATACAAGAACAAAAGTATTAATAGTAGAATTATGCATAAAATAATGATCGCAAATCGATTGAGCTGTATGAAGAACGCTAGAGCTGTAATAACGGCGAATGAGTGGTCCGCGACAGCCGCGTGCGGCGAATCGATTACCCAAAATCGTTCCTAACGCCCGTCCCCCGCGACAGGTACTGCGCGTGCGGTGTAATGAAAGTCCTTGTGGGGAAGAAGTCGTGTGCGTCACGGTAGGATTTTTGAGACGCTGGTGGAATTGACGTGAATTACTACTTGTTGGGATTCCAACTATGGTTTAAGCTTTGAGTTGCAACTAATAGTGACCCTGCGCCAAGTGTGAAGTGTAAGATCCCAAAGAAAACTCGAAACGCTCTTGAAGCTTGATGGCTGATTAATTCGTCCAAAATTGCGGCAATATATATGTCCCAAAATGAAAAAAATCTGTTCGGCGCATCAGCATTCGATACTCATATGTGAGCAAATGCCAATATGTCTCTAAAAAATGGCCACGAAGTTTCTAATGGCTGCTAATTCCCTTTCCTTCCACTAACCCCATATTATGCTTAGAGACTTTAACTACGCGTTCAGCTGTGTCCAATCGAATCGTAGAACGAAATTTTGGGTCCTCAGGATAAGAAGTGTAGATAAGTTCACTGTTTTTAGAAAGCTTCGTGAATGACGCACTCAATAATATAGCAACAGAATAAACCAAAGAAATGCAATTCGTGAGTGAAATCTTTGCCATTGTGAAATGCAGTCAAAAAGCAGGGTGCAGGGCGCTAGGTGCCGTTGCCGTAACCTGTTTAGCGCGCCAGTGCCGCCACTCCACCGCCGATCGCGTCAGGACCCTTCGATTTTGCACCCTGCGTTCGGCACCCCGCCAAGCGGTCGACGCGCTATGGCACCTAGCACCCTGTACTCCAAGAGAAAAAAAAAACTAAAAATCAACTCATAAATCGAGAGCAATAAAACGATAGCGGCAAGTTTAAGTCTTGGCAAGCCACACGAACACGGGCACGAAAAACTAAAGAAACATACTTCGGCGTCTCTTGCCAAGTATCCTCAAACTCGGCAATGAAGTTCAGTAAATGTGATCTAAAATGGAACAGAAAACAATGCTTTACGAAGAAAAAATTAAAAACGAAAAAGTAGATGTCAGGACAAAATCAGGCTATCATTCAGACGAAAACAATGTGATTTATCGATCACTATGTACCAATCACTGTTGTTAACACGAATAGTAACGGTTAGTAAAAACTTCTATTCTAAGTAATACGAACAACGAAGCCGCCAGTGTTATTGCATCGCAAAAATACGGCACACGGCAATGTGGTAGTTAGCTCAAAATATAAAGAGCCACACCTGTTCGCCACACAATTTTTTGCCTCTTCACTTCTGCTCAAAGAACTTACCGTCCATTCGCGAGCTGCAAGCGTGATTGCCATGTATCCTGCACACTTTACATATTTGCAGCTAGTCAAAGCAAATTTTTGCATTAATTAAAAATTTGGGAACATTCCTTTGTCCTCAAGACGTAGGGGCACGTCAAGTGATTTTGGCGCCCCACCTGTCCAGGAATCGAATCTCAAACCCGAATCAGGTCACAAGATTTACTAGAACTATCAATGGATACAAGTCTTTTCCGTGAGCAACTGCTGTTTTATACTGTTACGCGACTATTGAGCGCCATTTTTCTACATTCTAGGTTTGACGCACAAAGTTGCACCAGAATGCATAACCCGCTTGTATAGAAGGAATTGAATGTAAACGTGTGCAAATGCCGCAGGAATCCCGAATGAAAGTCGAATGCATGGCGCATCCCGGCAAAAGAAGCATGGCCTGAGAGCCCAAATCAAGCCGTCTGGATAAATGAGCTTTTATGGATATAGTCCTCACCTGAGATCTTCATTATACATAGCTTGTGATAGTTCACCACGAATAATATGGGCTTCATCACGCATCAATTGCTTTTCTCGTTTAATATCCTCGATCAATGCTTTGATTTGTTCCATGTTCTCTTCATCATTGTCTTGTCGCATGATATCCTTCAAAAACACTCGTGTAGTTATCTTAAATTGGGACAGCATTAAGGTTTTTACCCGATAGTAATGAATTGAATGCAGTAGAACGCCTAGTGTGTTACCGTAGATATGGCAGGTGAATGACAACCACTTGTTGTCAAGTGTTCCTCACTTATTGTTTTACTACCGACTAAATAAGCATCAGTCGGTAGGGTTAGATTCACTTTTGTGTCGACTTGGCCTCCAGTATCCAATAAACTTCCAACTACTCCGGCTAAGCCAGACAAAGGACACTACAAGAAATTCGAATTGACTTAGCTTACACAGCTTTTTATCGCCTTCAGCAAAGGCCAGCCCCATTCGGAAAAAATTTCCGTAGTTCTTACTTTTCAAAGTACATCCTCGATAAACAAAAATCATAGGCACCAACATTAGCTAATTTTAAAGGTTGACGACCGGGATAGGCGTGCGCCATGAACCTGGCTTCCTTGCAAAATTGTGAAGTTATATGAAAGAGCCGCATTAGCCCCTGCCAGTTGATTGGAACAGAAATTTACTTGCCCTTAAGTTCTGGACTGAAGTCGGTTCCAAAGCGCATCCCATAAAGCTTCGTAGGAACAGAGAGCGGATGTTTTGGATATTTTTTCTATATTATAGTAAAAATTAAGACTAACGTACCTCCAAATCGTTGATTTTCCTTTTGAGCGTTTGTGTGAGCCGTCTCAAGTGATCATAGCGCTTGTCGATATAGGATAAACGATCTTGAAACTGGAAAGAATCGAATCATGCCCCAGTTCTGTTACTACTCAACAGTTTTCTGCTACTTCTTGATTTTGAATTACTGATTTTAATAATTTGGATAAATTTTAAAGTCATGGAGCGATTTTTGAAAAAGAGGGGTAGTAGCCAAATCTGCTCACCCTCATTTTTTGAACTGAAAAGAGCAAATGAACTAAAAAATGTTATTTTGATTTGTTTTCGAAGCAGTTTTGCTTGGTTTCTCTAGAGAAATTTCTCTCGGGCTCATGGAGACCAAGTGCATTTCAAGCTGTTAATTATGTGGTTTGTGTAGGGTCTGGTGATGCTATTTTTCCGGAAACCCCGTTCGTGTCATCTCTTACTATTTCACGGCCATCCAACATTAACAAAGAAACTAGCGTCAGAGAATAAACAACCGAACAAAGCTACAAATCACATTCAGTATTAGCATCCAGTATTTGATTCGGAGCTAGTGGAGCTGACACTGGCACGCCGCTATACGAGATTTTGGAAATGAAAATTTTCTACTTAAATATTCAAACATTACTTAAGGTATGCTCTGAAACATAAGAGCGAAATTCACGCGACCTCTGTAAAAAAAAATCTGCAGTACTGCAGTAGTGTACTCATGTGTAAAAAACCTTCAACCACCTCCTCACTAGGAGTAACTCGGTTCAAATGTGCCCAAGTATGGTAAGCCTGTTTTATCGAAAACTTTCAAAGAATAGGAGTGGTTTCTTTTTGTTACTGTAATTCAGGGGAAAGTGTAAGACTTGTTGTTCTGAAGAATAAATAGACTCTATTGGTTTCTTTCCAAAAAATCACAATTCAACTGCGGTTGCTGTTTTACAAAAGAAAAGTTCAAGATGAATTCATACTGCCGTTAATAAAGAAAAATTAAAAAGAGTACGCTCGGGGTAATCCCCTCTCAAACTTCATTCCTATTACGAATATTCAAAGTTCAACTTTGAAACACTTCCGATTCCCTACCCTACTCACACTTGAACCCTTCGTTTATCCTTCCTCCTAGGGTATACCTGATCCCATACTAGACTCATATTTTTGGCCTGAAGCTCGACACACATATATCTTACAACGAGTAGTTCACGTAAGAGATCCAATACCCAAATAAGATTTTTCCGGAAAGCAACACTGTCCCAAGACAAACTCAGATACTTTAGTTTTAGGAAAAAGTCAAAGTCGATACGAAGTCAAATTTGTTCTTCAACTGAAAGGGTAGAAATAATCAGATAGGTTTCTAGTTCAACGAATGAACTTAAAATTCTTCAATTTTCCGGTTCATCTTCACATTGCTAGAAGCGTTCCAGGAATTTGAAAAGAGAATCAAATCGTTGAGCAGAATTTCGAAGAGGAAGATGGGAGTCAATCTGTTTTTGCTTGAAATCCAGTCTAACCCTATCCAAAACCCACTTAAACTGTATTGCTTTGCAGACAATATTTGCTAAAAATAGCCAATCATAAAAAATTCATTTTCTCCTACCTGCAGATTGCTGTGATACGTTACTGTAGCTTTACAAAGACGTGGTCGTTCGGGATCAAAAAAGGCATCATCGCTCATACCGTTTAGTTACCGTAACTCTGTGGAAAGTGTGTTCAGACATGTGCGAAAAATTGATGTATATTTTTGTAGAGACAAAAAAGCGATTCAATGAGATCCAGAGGCAAGAGTAGAATATAGATAGATCAATGCACAATAAGATTGACGGAGATGTCTAGAATTATATATACCACAGAGGATACCGCTGAATTTTTTCCTGCGAGGCGAGGCTGCAAAAAGAATGAGCCACGGTGGTCTCGATAGCATAGAGGATTAACATGGTGACGTGAGGCGCATGTCCAGTTTAGAATTCCCTCGAAATGTTGTTGTCCGATGTTTAGCCCGTTTGTCATGGGTGGACAGAAAGACTCGAACTTTTCAGAAGCAGTTTCATACTGTATATGCTGATTACTCACTCAAATGCCACAAGAATTTTGAGAAAGATGAAGTCAAAGACACATTCCAAACCAGAACTTCATCGACAACTTATTTAACTTTGATGCTATTTCTTGGCAATCACAGTTCCACAGCTTAAACCAGAACGGTGTCGTTAGGGCCGATACTGCAAGATTTCAACGCCTTCGCTATATGTAAGTCCCATACTAGCCATGACTTCTAGCCCAAAGAATCGCAACCAATCTCCGCTTCAACCAGCACCTTCCTCCTAACTTCTGGTAGAATACACACTTCATACCCGATATATCCACGGAAATCCGATGCCCTCGATATTCAAGCACTACGAAGCACAAAAATGTGAGGACGCTGTGCAGAATAGTCTCACGTCAAAAGAATGTGAAAAGGTTTACAACAGAAAGTGAGAAAACAAGGTGGTCAGCATTACGAGCAGGTAGGGAACCTGTATAGAGGACACCATACATTTAAACCCCAATCGGAATTGGAACCTATTTGAAAGGCAACCGCAAAAATAACTTTTTAATAACAGGAAGGACTACATGTAGACAAAATTTCTGATACCAGCCGTCAGTACAATCACTGCCACAGCTCCCAATGCTCTTACCCTTTGTGCTTGTATGCATATACTGTTGCAACCTATACAGCAGTTCTCTAGAGCTGAAGTACGGGTCAGCGCTTTCTTCCTCCCGAACGAAGTACTTAGCTAGCATTGCAACTAGGTGGGAATTCACTTAATCCGCCCAGAGGCTGGAAGGCTCCTTGAATAATTTTTTTTATTTCTAAAGTGCCGCTAGAACAAATTCTCGTTTTTGTCTTCGGTTACCAATGTGAGCTTTCAATTGAAAGGAATCAGCTGAAGTCAGGTTTACGAGGCAAAAAGATTTGAAGGGCATTCGAAAATGTTCAAGCAGCTAAAAACCTAGAGGACTCCGAATGAGTCCAAATTAGAGGACACTCAGGATGTATCAGGCACACCCTTGAACAAAAGGATAAAAACTCACAAT